TCATCATTCTCAAAACATTTGCTTTCTACTTGAGCCCTTGGTATCAACTCCTCATTTTTTCCCTTCCCTCTCCACTCCCTCCTTCCCCATGAACCCTTGACAATTTATAAATTATTATTATTTTGTCATATCTTATACCATCTGTTGTCTTCCTTCACCCACTTCTCTGCTGTCCGTTCCCCAGGGAGGAGGTTATATGTAGATCCTTGGCATCTATTCCCCCTTTCTTCCTCACCTACCCTCCACCCTCCTGGTATCACCACTCTCACCACTGAAGGGGTCATCTGTCCTGGATTCCCTGTGTCCAGTTCCTATCTGTACCAGTGTACATCCTCTGGTCTAGCCGGATTCGTATGGTAGAATTGGGATCATGATAGTGGGGGGAGGAAGCATTCAAGAATTAGATGAAAATTTGAACAACCACTTTTTCAGTGGGTAGTTTAGCCCTTAACCATTTACACCACACAGGAACAAGAGGAAAGAGCCAAGCTTTGAGTTATTTAAATCATTTAAATTCCTAAGTTCCCACTAGTTTAATACCTACCCAAGGCAAAGTTTTACACCTGAAAAAAATCAAAGCTACAACTCACTGTTCCCCCTGTCCTTCTGATTGAACACAAAAGAAACCATTAGGACCTGGTGTGCTACTTGGTGTGCTATTTAGGAACTATTTGTGGGTTTCCAGGTGGTGTGTTTCCCTTCCCTTGAGTTACCCCTTGGTGTGGATTTAATAGATCTTATTTATGAATATTTTATCCCTCTTTTGGGGGGAGGTGGGGTCTGAACGTAAGAGAACTCAAGGAAAAACACTTGTTGTTTTTTTTAAGAGATTGCATTTTATTCCTTTTTTCTGTAGTTTCTCTCTGAAACAAGTTGAGATTGGAAAATAGATGCATTGAAAAATGAGATACTCCCCCTACCTTTTTCTCAGTGAGAAAAAAATCTCATAACCAGTGGGTTAATATACAAAGGGCACTCCAAAAGTTCGTGGAAAAATGGAATTGAAAATAATGTATTTTTCCATAAACTTTAAAAATCCTTTGCTTGACATATAATTCATTGCATATAAATACTATGCAATTCAGTAGTACAGTCCTTTTGGGAAGAATTGTGCAATTATCACCAAATCACTATTAGCACATTTTC